GCGCTTCCCAAGCGGCACACTACAGCAGTGCGCCACCGGGCTGGCCCTGAATATCAAATACTTTGATTAACCAATAAAACCTTCTCTTGAAAATGACAGCAGTATTATACTGATTACTGTACAGCCTATATTATGTAAATGAAAATCTGCTGACTTTTCATCAAGAAAAAACTAGAGTTTAGGTTGCTTTTTATCATGTTTCAAGGAATAATAGATAATTCATTCACTGTCTATACATCCTTCCTTCAGGTATCACTGAGACTCCATTCACATTAGGTTAACTTCATCCATTTCCCTTGAGGAAGTAAAGAGCCTAAAAGAGACAGGCTGCTACTGAGGTCACAACATAGGAGAGTTAATGTTGCTCTGCAAACAGTCTTGGTCAAGGACAGCCAGATGGCCTGGGGACCAGCTTGGCGAGCTGCCTGAGACTCAGGAGGGCTGCAGGTCAACAGCAGGGAGAACATACTTCATTAGACTACAAGCTGAGAACTGTCCAGAGACTCCTTCTGCCACAAAACTGAAATTTAATAATGGTTTACTGGTTTAGTTGTGATTTTCAGTTAAGAATGACAGAAATTGGTTTTAAGTCCAATATTAACGCTCCAAAAGGTTGGGTCATACAGTCTAGTGACGTACTACAGAGCAAGGCCATAGCTGTTTTCTTTAACCTATTTACAGCCTTCCTGTCAGGAAGGCTAAATGAAATCCCCCACTGTTACCAGGTTGGGGCTAAATGCCTTCTTACGAACGACCTCTACCTTACTTCTCTAGTTCAAAAAATACCACAAAGGAAAGGTGCATGCTCTCCATTTATTTGCCTAGTATGCAGGATAAACAGCAGTGGCCCATCTGCTGATCTGGCTAAAGCAGCAAGTTAGGAGCACACATGGCAATATTAGGAATCCTGCCTGAGTGATCCACAGCACTGCTGAGAAAAGCCTGACTTCTCAGGAGAGTAGGCTAGAGAACTACTTCAGTATTGTCCGTAGGCACAAAGTGATCCACGTCTTCGTGCTTGTTTACTTTCAGTTTTAAATTAGCTGTACTGCTCCAGAAGCAACCAGAGGTGCAATGGTTTTATATCGGATCAAGTGCTGCGAGCCCTCCTCCAAGTCAATCACATAGTCCCTGAAAGAGAAGGACAAGGATTTATCTGCAGAGCTTAGCTGGTTCTCCACTGGGAGGAGTATTTCCCACTGTGAGAGATGCGTCACTCACCGCTGTTCATCTGTTTCTGGTTCCACCAGTATGTTTTCTTGTCGTTCTTTCACTCTCAGAAACACATAGGAATCTAGATCCGGTTTGGGAACTGCCAGAAAAACAGTAACATAATTAGAAAATGCTCAGCAAACAAGGTCAACATGGGAAAGCTGCTGGGATTAGTGGTAACAAGCACTTGGGAGGTGACATAAGGAGAGATCTGGCCCCTCACAGAGGCCACTGGTCCGACAAGTGATGAGCACTCACAACGTGCGGGGACCCCGCTCCACACTGTGGCAGGCACAACAGCTACCACCCCCAGTCCCTAGATGAGGGGGAGAGCCAGCAGCATCTGCTGAGCCCACATCAGAGATGCATGCACTCAATGACGTGGGGAGGAAGCAGGAGATGTGGGCTCTGCGGGAAGGGGCAAAAGTCAGCCTGGGGTGCAGAATAACAGGGGTCGAAGCAGAAACATGCATGAAGCTTCAGGACAGTGTATAAATCTGGCTAGGAAATATTTTAACGTAAGGGCCTAGGAGAAGAGAATATTAGGAAGATTGGGTCATATGGTGATAATCTTGAAGGTCAGACTAAGGAATACAGGTTTTAACTGGTAAGTGGTCCCTCACTGTTAAATTACAGGTTAAGAAACTGCAGCTACCCTTCTTCTCCTACCACTAGCCAACATGTCAAGTTAGTAACTCTAGGTCAGGCTGCTCCTTGACAGCTCATCTCCTGGAGTCCTGCTTGAACCTGAGACTCCATCAAATGCAGGCCCAAACAACCTACTGCATACCTTGCAGCTCTTGGGGTTCATATTGCCCTTGGCTCCCTCAAAGCAGTTCAGCACAACTTGCTCTAAAGGTCTAGAGAGGGTCCCCTGGGCTGCTCCAGAGCTCTGGGCCTAACAACAAAAAAACCCCCAAATCTCCAATTTCACCAGTCATTTGGCCCCACTGAGCACCTTGTGATTCCAGACGCCTTCCCCTACCTTGCCACTGGGGTCTACATTGCTCCAGAAGTCTTAGGCGACTTAAAGCATGTGGGCTAAATAAGGAAGACCTTAATTTCATCAGGGCAGGCTAGTTCCACCATGCAGCTTCCAGTCCCAGGAGTCTGGCTCTCTTGTCCTTGGAAGGGACTCAGGAGAAGTGAGTGTTTTAGGGGTGTCCACCAGCGTCAGGTAGAAGTGCTGGGACAACGGCCTGCCCAGCCCCTGGAATTGACATGCATGCCCATCAGCAGGACTGAGCTGATGTAGCCCACTGGGTAAGGCAGCACTGGTGAGACTAGACTAGCTGACTGGGGTGGGGTGGGGTGTGTGACCTTGAGCTGGGCCTATTGTTCCCCTTGGGCAGGCTCAGAAAAATGACCAGTTCAGAGTTCTGGTCAAGATGGTGGAATAGACAGTCCCCAGCGTCACTCTCTCCCACAAATCAACCAATTTACAACTATAAAAATGTAACATCAGCCAAGCTGGGGCCGCTGGAACTCAGGGAAAGAGGAGGAGAGACCTACGGAGTTCATGAAGGTGGGAGAAACTATGATGAGAGAAAGAAAAAGCTGCTCTGAGCATTTCGGGCTGTGGCTGCTTTAAGGCTTGAGCCGATGAGCACATGGAGCAGGAGCCGGCTGAAGTCGCAGCTGCGCCCTTCAGATGGAGTTACTTGGAGGCGGCAGAGAAGAAGAGGGCTTTGGTGGCCCCCAGGACAGCAAGACCACTAACAGAGTTCCCGTGGACCCACGCAGGAATGAGGAGCCAGAACAGCTGAGAAAGGGAGCCATTCAGAGGCTGGTGAGTCAAGGCAAGGGACAGGCACAGGGCCCATCTCATGGGAAGTGTTTGGAGCACGGACAGTGGGGGAGACAGGCCCACAAGGGGAACACTGGGACACAGCAAGGACAGCCGATCCACTCCCCAATCAGCGCAGGACCACTCAGAGGAGACTGATCGGGAATGCAGAATGGCATGGGGTGCAGTTTGATGAAAAAACTCAGGCCCAGATCAGAGTTTCTACACAGCCCAGGTGCACTAAGTCTCTGGAGAGCTGGAAGTACCTATAAGGTCAACCATTAAACCCTGAGCTGCACAAAAAGCCCTTCCCAGGGAAACAGCAGCAAAGCAGCAACTTAGCTCAACCACACAGCTCAAGTACTGGTTCCCATAGGAAGTTCCCCTGTGTTAGAAGTAAGCAAAGGACAAAAAATTAGTTCTGGCCCAGGCACACCACCAGTGCTTTGGGGCTTGCTAGGGGACATGAGGCATGGAGAAGGGGACCAGACCCCCCCTCTCCCACAACCAGCCACACTGCACAAGTGCCTTGGGGCCCTGCTGGGGGGCCCAGGGCATGGATCCAGGGACCGGACCCCCCCCTCCCACAACCAGGCACACCATGCCAGCACCTTGGGGCCTGCCCGAGGCATAGAGAAAGACTGAACCTCCCTCCCACAAACAGGCACACTGCACCAGCACCTCCGGGCCTGCTTGGGGACCCGAGACATGGAGAAGGGGACCAGACCCCCCTCCCACAACCAGGCACACTGTGCCAGTGCCTCGGAGCCTGCCCAGGGACCCAGAGTATGGAGCCAGGGACCAGACCCCCCTCCCATAAACAGGCACACTGTGCCAGAGCCTCTGGGTTCACCCGGGGATCCAAGGCATGGAACCGGGGACCAGAACCCCCTCCCACAAACAGGCACACTGTGCCAGCACCTCGGGGCCCACCTGGGAACCTGAGGTCTGGATCTGGGGACCAGACACTCTCTGCAACCAGGCACACCACCAGCACCAAGGAGCATGCCAAAAACATCACCTTTAGGGCTGGCCTGTTGCTCACTCAGGAGAGTGTGGTGCTGATAACATCAAGGCCACGGGTTTGGATCCCTATATAGGGATGGCCTGTTAGCTCACTCGGGAGAGCGTGGTGCTGACAACACCAAGTCAAGGGTTAAGACCCCCTTACCAGTCATCTTTTAAAAAACAAAACAAAAAACCAAAAAATCCCCCAAAAAGATCATCTCCACGTGGGTGGCCCACCACAGCCACCACAATAACCATGGCTGCCAGGAAAGTGGCTAGATGCCACAACCACCAAGCAGATGGTCCCCCAGCCCCTGGAGTGCATTGATGTAAGGAGAGTCACCAGCAGAGATAAAGAAGAGAATGTCTCTCTCCACAAAACCCATTTCAGAGTGACAGAAGAAGCATCTGTTCTATGATAATACTGGGGGAGCTGATAACACCTCTCAGCATCAGACAGATCATCTAGGCAACAAATCAACAGAGTAACCATTACTCTTTTATAAGGAGAGAAGAAATCTAGGGTAATGGGGGGCGGGGGTAGGCAGAGGGGGATGGGGAGAGATTGGACACGGGGCATAAAGAATAAATACGATTTGTAACAATATATATGCTAGTAATATTGATTTGATCAACATATCTCAATGTTGGGCCGGCCCGGTGGCGCACTGCTACAGTGCACCGCTTGTGAGTGCGGTGGCGCTCCCGCCGAGGGTTCGGATCCCACATATAGACCGGTTCCCGCTCACTGGCTGAGCGAGGTGCGGGTGCAACACCGAGGGTTGCGATTCCGTTGCCGGACATGAAAAAAGACAAAAAGGAAAAAAAAAAAAAAAACATATCTCAATGTTGAACC